CCCGGAGCTTCTGAGAAAACTCTTCCAAAAAGATTCGACACGATCCCAGGGTTGGCCGCGGCTTTCGCGTTCCGAATCGTCGTCGGTTCTTACGCATCGTCTTCGTGCTATTTTTTTCAAGGACGTGTTCTACGAACGGTGAACAAACGTATGTGAAGACCATGGAGTCTGTCTCGAAGGCAGGGCGGAGTGTGGGCACTGGTGTGTACCGTGTGGTGGGCGCGTTCGCTCGCGGAGCCAGAAGAGTTCTGTCCTACGTGCCGCTTTTGGGTGTCGCTGCAGTGCCACCGGAAGTCGAGGACGCAAAATCTTCCGCGGTACGGATGGAATGATCTTCCTCGATATCTATCTGTGATTGTATCCTATCGACGAGTCCAAAGTCTAACGCGATGTTTCATCGTAACCCTAACCCCCCACCCCCCTCGACTTCAACCTGTTTCCGATTGAGCACGAAACCGAAACGAAGAGATGGCATTTCCGGTGCAATTTAACTAGTTCTCCGAGTGACTACGCTCATTGGAATTATTAATGGCCGTCGTATCCGTTCGAGGTGGTAATTGTTAATTTTGCATTGTTCGTCGGGTTATCGATTTCGGAAGAAGTGGGGGAAGAGGAGAGGGAGGCTGGACTCGATTCGTCGGAATATTTTATAGTTTATTAATGTCTCCCGTCGGTCGATGCTGCTTTTTATGTAATCGTCCATTGTTCGACGCCGTGTTTAAACGCGTGCAGCAGAAACAAAGGTAAACCGACACTCGGTGTCGGTCGCGACGCGACGAGCAAAAATAGTCACGCGACAGGAGGCACACAGCGAGGCAAGGCACGGCACGCTCGAGGCATACGCGGTGAAAGCTTTCGCGCGCAAGATGCTTTCACGAGCCGGCAGTTCAAGCTAACGAGGAACGTCCAGCGGGTACGACCGAAAATAGCGAATTGCCGCGTGTTCACGGGAGCCATGCTGCTTCTCGAAGACTTTCCGTTTCAGTCTCGGCGCAGTGTGTTCCACGTGGGTGAACGCGTTTTAAGGTTTCGCGTATCGAATTATAGTTGCGCTCGAGCGGTATATCGACGCGATATAACGCGTTAATCCACGCGGAACCGTGTCCGGCCGAATCGATGAAAATTAATACCTTGACGAATTAGAGTCGGGGGTAGGCGGCGAGAAATTCAATCGTTCGGAACACACCGTCGTCCGCGCGCAATTGAAATTGAATTCGTGTCCCGTAGACGATCAAACATAGCACGCGGTAACCGTTTGTTCCCATGCATCGAGGTCTGTTCACATGCTAACACAATAGGTATGTGTCTAGACCTAAGAGCCAGAGGGTATTAAGTCCACTTTTTTAACAAAATTATATTTTGCATGTTTCTGTATCAAATTGTTCACTCTTTCCGATAGTGAAACTTATTTCACAATGTTCTCGATTTCTATATATCGATTGTTTCTCGTTGAATTTATATCGAATGGTTCCAAAGCCACAAGATTCCAGCATCTTTGATTTGCTCTCCTCTAAAGTTCGAAAAGTGTGCTGTGATGCACTCTGGCTCTGGGGTTCAGATATGTATATTGAAATTTCAATCGTGTGTACCCCGTTTACACGCCACTTTAGTCCTTCTCGTAGCCTCTCTCGTGTTTCAGATTTGTATCTTGATTATTAACGATCCTTCGAACTGCCAGTCAAGTCCCGTGAAAAGCGTAGGTTAACGAGGAGGAAATCAACGAGGTCCGGGCCGACTTACCATCATTAATTACTCGCACGCTACATTAATCTCCCGGGAGATAAAACACGGGCTTATTAAAGCCGTTTAAAACTCGCGAAACGACAGCAGCGCCGCTTTTCCCGTTCGCGCTTCTGGTAAGATATTGAAACGCCGCGTGTTTTCAAGTACAAACAATCGGGCGGTGTAGTGTCGTGATTTGCCTCCGGTGGATAACATTAAACGCGTGTTTCTATCGTCCCCGTCCGTTCCGTTTACATGCCAAGAGACCGATATTACCGCAGCCGCGGTACACGCTCCGGTGAACCGAATAAATACAGCTGTCGTAATTCAATTCCAAGGAAGGCTACGTAAATAGGAAGGTAGGGAAAAGAAAAACGAAAGAAAGAAGAAACGTAAAGAACATACCACTCGAAAAACCGAGGAGAAACGCCGTCACCACGGGTGCGCACATTTAGCTCAAGACAATGGGTTAATCAGCAGTAGAAACGGGGTTCGCGGGAACCCGGTGCATCAGCGCCGATCTCTTTACGGACGTGTCGTTAAAGACGTCATTGTCTAGGTCATGCCGTGCTCGTGTACATAACAGACCGTTTCCGGGACGTTGATAACGCCCCCCTCCCCTTTGGTCCCTTTGTTGCGTTTCCACTCGCTAACCGTTTTGGCGACGCGAAACGCCGTTGCGCGATTTCGTGTTAAAAAAAAAAAAAAAAAAAGAAATACAGCGGAAACAATTAGTCGGACGGTGGTAATCGGATACACGCCCAGCCGTCGACGCGTCCACGGTTTGTTCCGTCCGGCCCCCGAAAAGCTGAACGTATATCCGATCGTTATCGGCCCCTGAAATTTATGTATTTCACAGAACACCATCACCCGGCTGCGACAGTTGTTGGCTGCGCACACGAGCGTTACGCACGTGCCACGCGTCACCCTAGTTAACTTTTTCTCCTCTCGGAACAGGAAATTGATTCTAGTATCGGGCCTAATGCAGCCCCGGGCACCAGCTGTTCCGTCCGATCCCGGACCAGGATAATTTCCGCACGGTTCAATGGCTAGAATGCCGGGGACGATATTTCAGCGCGGGGCCCAAAGGCGCTCTCCGCTGCCAAGTCCCAGCAACTCGATACCACATCGCGCATCGGGGAACTCCGTGGAGCGTGTGGGCTGGCTTTCGCGTGGCCCCTTGCAAACATGTTCCGCGAGTCTCTTTCTGTTCTCTACCGTGGGTCGACAATAGCTATCGTTAATCCGCCTATTAGGTTTCAAATGTCGCGGATATATTTTCAACCACGCGAACGTTGTTGTCTCGGTTGTTGGCCCCGCGCGTGTCCGTGTAGTTTTCACCGAGATTCCATGGTGCAAATCGTTTGTCTTTTCTTACGGGGGGGGGGGGACAGTGTAAAGAGTATCTGTGGGCGTTTGGGAAAAAATCCATAACATCTAAACTAATCCATTTTTGACCTAAGACGTTTATACTTTTAAACGTGCATAGAATATTCTCGAGATGTTGTACTTAAAGAAAATATAGAATTCGATGCTTGTGTTGGCCGGGCTTCGGGTAACCAAACTCACGTCTCGAAATCCATCATTCTCGTTTAAATATATTCAGGACTGGCGTCGAGCCGCGCGAAACGAGGACCTTCTCCCGTAGGTTTTCTCTTTCCACCGGCCGATCTCCGTTGCAGAAGCGTATCCACGACTCCTCCGTAACCTACTCAAAAGTTGGTCGACGGCCAACAGAAGCGACCGCGAGCGACACGTAAAGCATGCCGCCGATCGATTTCGTCGCGAGTGTGTAAGTCGAGGGTAATCGGAAGTTTATCACCGTGATACGCGCGAGAGCGCTCCTTTCTTCCGTCGACCTCGAAGCGCGCATACGCGGACAATGGCCCGAACGAAGAATGATTCTACGTCTGGCTATCAGCCAGATTCCCCGTGGCCCTTCTAGCAGCCATCTCCTTTCTCCGGTGCGAAGTTTAGCCAAATTTGTAACGCGAATTCGCGCGTCTGTTCCGCCTCGTCGTTTCTACCGATTCCTTTGGTTGTGTTTGCTGCGAGGTCGAAAAACCCACCGATGGAACAACCGTTCCCTCGAGTCGAGTCTGGAGTCGTTGTCTGGAACGAGGTCGAAAACTCTGGCCGCGGGGGAGTTGTACTCGAAAGCGCGCGCAGACATTCAGAACAATGCCCACGGAGAGAAAAAGAGAGAAAGGGGGAGAGTTAGGTTTCGCGTCGAAGTTTTCGCCGCTTTGAAAATTGTGTACCCGGTGCTGGCGAAACATGGGGATCCAGGAACGTCTGAGAAAAAACACTCCGGGTTTAGAAAGCCCTTGTGCCGCCGCAACCCTTCAGGGGCTGTAATTCTTTAAGCGAGAGGCTTACCCCTTACGAAAATGCACAGGAGGAACACGGCGGCGGGAAGGGGTTTCACTTAACCAGCCGATCGATACGCGAGGTCTGGGGACGATAAAGCACGCGCCCGCGTTCCGCACGTCCGGTTTCTGTTTCCCTCTTCGGTTTCAAGAATTGATTTCTCGTTCCGCTCGTGTTTCTTGTGCTCACGCCAAGATAGGACGAGTGTCATCGCGACGACGAGATTCCCGATACCTCTACGGATCGGGAGGATATCGCTCGTTCGCCGGTGGCTTCGTTTCTCCAAGTGGAGAAAACGATACGACCATTCCATCGTTCGATGTTTCAAACACGGCTGACGCGTATTTTCACGTACGCGTTACTCGCCTGTTCGACGAAAGATTTAACAGAGTATTACAAATCGTAAAATGAAAATCAATTACGGGTTTGCTGAAAAGAGAGTACTTGCTGACACAGTGACACGATTGGCCACCCCTGAAAGGGTGACGTCGCTGGCCGGGCACCCCGTGGGCTCTCCTTTTTTTCCCGTACCCCACCACGTGTATCCCTCATAGGGGTGTATCGACCCTCCTGCGAACTCCTCTTGTCTACGTGTCGCTAGGTTGTTCACCCTTCTTTCTATTCGAATCGCTTAGAGAGCATACCCCCGGTTCGACGAGAACCGGGCGACAACTGTTAACTTGGTCACCCTTCGTGACGAACAAAAAAAAAAAATATCTCGCTCGAACGAGAAGCAGCCCGCTTTTTCCAACAGTCTCCTCTCGTGTGCCCACTTTAGTCGAAAAGCAGGCTTGCGTTTCCATGGCGTCTGTATATGCACGATTCGACAAAAGTGACCGACCGGGGTGGTCTTGACGTGTTGCTATTTCCTCGTTGAATCGAATCTAAACGATGGTATCATGTTTCAGGGTGGAGAAGAAGCGGAGAACGGTTCGGCAACAGCAGGTAGTCCGGTCGAAGAGAAGTCGGCAGTAAGTAGCCCATCCGCGGAGACCGAAGCCGCCCCGGCGTCGGCGGCACCCTCCACAGAAACGAAGGAGGATGCAGCAGCAACAGGAGCATCAGCAACAGCAACGGCCGCTAGTAGCCCCGCCGATGAAAAGCAGGAGGAACCCACTCCCTCTGCCCCTACTCCCGTCCCTGTCGAGGAAAACAAAGAGGAGGTCGAAAAAATCGGGGTCGAGAAAAGAGTAGTCGAGGTCAGTCCAGCCGGTCGTCAGTTCGTACCGGTAGAAGTCTCCATTTTCCGAGTCCAGACAGTCGATACGCCGTCTATCATTGAGAGGAAAACCAGTGAGGATACTCCTTCCCTGCCTCCGTCCAGTCCACCGCCAACGCCCATAGATCCGTCACCCTTGCAGCAGGCTCAGCAGGCCGCGGCTTCCGCGACCGCTCTCGCGGAGGCCCTTAAGCTGCCCGCCGAGGCTGCTGACAAGGATTTCATTGCACCGACAGCCGCAACCGCAACCTTATCTTCCTCTTGTCCAGAGCGTAACGACCCCCCGACACCGCCACCCGCGGATTCTCTTGATGTGTCCCCCCAGAGACCACCCGGTTCATCCCCAGACAGACCCCATACGGAACCAACTCCCGCTCCCCCGAAACTAGAAGCTCTGCCGGTGGTAGATACCGTTGTAGTCGCGAATAATCCGGAAGTCGCGGTTCAACAGAATTACTCAGACTCGCCCAGCAGCACCGACGTGACCGCCCAAAAATCCGAGAACGTCGACGAGACGCCGCTGCCTGTCGCGATAACTGACGCCACGAACAGTAGTCCTGATGCTCCGGCGAAACAACAGCAGGAGGATACAACTTTGTCCGAGAGGAACGAGCAGAAAGAAGCAGTAAAAGAGGTACCGCCTCCTCCTCCGTTGGAGAAGAAAATAGAGGCAAACGCGGAAGAGACCCACGAGATCGAAGTCACCGAAACGATAGAGATACCTGCTTCCTCCGAGGCTGTTGCCGTGGTCGCGGAAAAGACGGAAGTTGTTGAACAGCTGGTAGAATCTAATGCCGTTTGCGATGCTTCTAGCGCGCCTGTGGAAGATATTAAACCACCGCCGCTGGAGACGACTGTTGCCGAAGACTCGGCACAACCGGAGCAACCTGTCGAATGTAGAAGAGAAGACACGCCGCCGATCGATTTAGCGGGACGCGTCGAGGAATCGGTCGAAGAGATCGTTGTAGTAGAGGAAGTCGTGCAGGAAGAAACTATACCGGCGCAGGAAATCGTAATCGATCCACCGATCACGGTGTCCGACATGATCTTAGAAACGGAGGAAGGCCCTATGCCTCTTTCGGAGGAAATCGTCGTAGAAGCAAAACCAGCCGTTGTTATTCCGGAAGACGAAGAAACCGTGGAGGAAACAGCGGACACCGACGCGGATGTCTCGAAAGTGGACACGGAGTCTGTCGAAGTAATACCCGACATCGAAGACAAATTGGAAACGGAAATGGACGCCGACATCGTCGTGCCCGCGGAGGAGGAAGAGCTCGTGGCCGACGAGCCGGAAGATTTTCCGCCGAACGAAGCAACGATCGATCCTGTTCAACCGGTGACCGAGACCATCGTTATAATTGAGGACGCTGTCAAGAAAGTGACGGAAGTAATTGAAGTGTTAGAAGAGGACGAGGATTCGATGCCTCCGCCCGTACCGGAATCGCCAATGCCAGGACCATGGGAAACGTTCACTGCCGAGATGATAAACATTCGGGACGATGCGACCACCGCAGTGCCTTCTCCTATCGTAGACGTAGAACCACAGATCGTGGAAGCAGAACGATCGCAGGAAGTCGAAAAGCCTTCTTCGCAAACGGAACAAATCGAACAAACCGAGGTACCAGAAGAATACTCGCGCTCGGACGTTCCTCCGAGTCCTCTGGTGGACACGCCGGAAGTATCGACTAACAGTCCAAGCTGCTCCCTGAACGAACAACCCATGCCGGACGCGAACGAATCTCAAACACAGTCATCCCCAAGCAGACTCGAACCCGTTTCTTCCGATCCAACGGACGATCATCCTCCCCCGGCACCTCGAGGCATCGTTCAAAGCACAGATTCTTTCGAGTATCCCTTACCACCGGAAGAGCTCTCTTGCCCGTTAATGACGAGTAGTAACGTATCCGAAACGAAGAGCGAGATTCCAGTTCCCGACGAGAACGTGCCCAGTCTAAGAAACCCGACAGAGACGCTTCTGACACCGCCCAGAAGTCCTAGTCCCCAGTCCAATATCAGTATCACGTCCGGCCTGACAACATCCACAAAAGACTCCTCGCAGACACAGTTTTACGATGACCAGAGCAATCGAGAGTTCAAGATGGAATCGGTGTCGATAAGCCTCAATTCGTACAATGAGTCCGACATTGAATTAAAGGAGAGATTAGCAGAGTCTCTGGCGGAGACTGAGAACCAGGAAGAGAGCTCGGTATCGTGTCAGTTGTCGAACAACGCCACGTCGTCAACCACTGTCCAGGAGACCCATCAGGTGACTAACATGTAACACAACCTCCTGGCATGAATTCAGGCAGCCGATAAACCTTTGGTGGCGCGCCTCGTTCCAAGTATCTCGTCGTTACGGTCCGCACAAATACCGTCTCTGTGATATAGTCCGAAAATATCGACACCTCCCGTTTTTCTCCTCTCGTCCCGAATTACATTATCTCTACGTCCAGTGCTCTGTCGCACCCGAAACTCATTCCTACTACGTTCACGTCTCTCTTCGCGTTGTCGACGCATCCCTGATAATTGTCTGTATCTGACATCGACCATCTTCGATAAAAAAAAAACAAACGAACTAATAACAAATAACAAAACAAATAAAAAAAAAAAGAACGATCTTCTCTCGACGATTCGAAGGGTTAATCGAAAAAGACTGAGACTGACATCGACGTCTGTGGGTTTTTGCACGAATTTCATCCATGAAAATAAAAATGTACACACACACACACACACACACGCTCATTCCATGCACGAAGGAAAATCACGGTGAAATCTACCGAATCGATTGATTCTTCCAGCGAAAATCTCCCCTTTTCCTTTCGTCCTATCTCATGAAATATATACCGTTTCCGAATTCCATTCTTTCGGGTAATACGAATCCATCGTCCAAGGGTCTCGTCGAATGCATCCTTTGTTTCTGTCAACCGTGATTAACAACAACGTCTACTCTATCGCTGACATTTCCCTGACGCTTCCGTCCATCGACCACCACCAAAACGAACCATTACTGCCATATCACCTGTGTTGTTTGCCTCTTGGTTTTCTTGACAATTATTAACACGTCTTGTTATTCGAATCGAGGCGCTAAAATGTAGAGCATTCGTAGCTCGACACATAGATGAACCACGAGCGAGTCAATCGCAGTGTACACTAGTCGAGAGAGACCAGTTTCCGTAGAAAATCACTTTTTTCCTCGGAACGCTGTCTGTCGCTGATATAATTATATATAACATTAGAGCCGCTCGATATTAGAACGAATTTCTTAGCGTGAATCTCATTGATAGACGTAAACACTCTTGAAACTAATAATGTTTGTCACCAGTACGATAGTGAGAGCTGTCTCGTCTTAGATTATTTCATTAACATGTATAATACGGCATTATAGAACTTATATTTAGACATCTATACTATCGTGCTCTTTCCGTAATTGCATCTGTTGTGTCGTAAGCATCTTGTATTGAGCATGCAGAGTTTTCTTATCCGATGGATGGGGTTAATCGAGCAGAGGGTTTCCGATTCTTTGCGCTGGCCGAAGCATGAGGAACGATTCCGTCCGGTTATATGGGGTTGTTACATGGTCGATATTAAATATTTCATTACCTACGAAACGGACGTGTGTTCGTCCCTGTGTAATCGCGTCTCATCGGTTGTACCGCGCGCGCGTGACGCTTAAGAGATTGCAACTAACGATAACGCAGGTGGAAACGTGGCTCGAGGTTCTTTTTCCTTCATCTCTTTCGTTTTGAGTGGCTCGACGGAATCGACCTTTACGTCTTTTGTCCTCGTAGCATGCTGGGATTTGGACTTGACGCGGTCATTCGATCTTGCGATCATCCATGTACATCCTCTAACGAGCAGACCTGTGTTTTGCAGACCACTCCTGAATCCGAGGCCCCAGTAGAAAATAATGTGGCCCACGACAGCACGACAGAAAGTTCAGAGGAGAAGATTGCACCTCCTGCCGTCCTAACCGAGATACCCGCCTCTCCGCCATCCGCACCAGCCATCACCGAAGATGTTGCCTCCGTAGCCAAGGTAATTATTCGTCCCCGATCTCTTTCCAACCGATTCGCCGAGTTCTTCTGTATTCATTCCGTCTATCGAGTTTCAAACAAGTACTACATGATGATCGCCAAGAAGATCGTTCGCGCTGCGTTAGCGCGAGCGATCCCGAGGCCATTAACGTTGCTTAATGTCCAACGAAGAATAAAGTGCGAGGGGCCATCTGATTAACGATACATACTTTCCAATGAGTTCACTTTTGGCTCACGACGTAATAAGTTCGTAATACCGTTATTAACGTACTGGCATCTTATTTTTTTTATTACAGGCTATCGAAGAGATTGACATAAGCGATAAGGCTGTCGCAGCGGCAACCATAGAGTGCACCACGAACGTAAGTGTCCGGAACATGTTTTTCTTTTACTCTTTTACGCTTCGCTCGATGCTTGTTTGCCAAGTGTGTAACACGACGTTTTATTGTTCGCAGGAAATCATCGCGGACGCGCATTACCAAAACAACGTGAACGAATAAACGCCGCTAACCGAATTGTATTTTGGGAAGAAGAAAGTTCTTTTCTCTCGTTAAAACCAAAAAAGTATATTATATAGATATGTATATTTGGACCATTCCTGCAAACTAAACCAGAAAAATGAACGTTCTTTCGTTACGAGCAACAACAAAAAGATAAAAAGAATAATACTAATAACGAACACGGAAAAAATAATGAAAACTGAACGACAACGATGTTACCGCGACATCGCGAGAGCATTATAGACTTTATAGTAGGCCTATTAATAATTATTAGACGGCATTCGACGGCGGGGCGAAGGAGAATGTTCACGCATGGCTACGGTCGTATCATCGAGGAGAATAGGGTTACGTAGACGAGTCAAATAAAAACGGTTAATTCTGAAAACGTGTTGTCTTTCGCAGGTGGTAGATCTCGAGCCGGGTGATTTTTACTGTACTTCTTCTCAACGTGAACCATCGAAACGGAACAAAAATTTTACAACGTTGGGCCGTGCCCATTGGCAGGGTCTGAATTTGGCCCTGCTCTGTAGAAACTGAAAAAGAAAGAACTGTAATTGTTACTAAACTAAGCCGAATTACGTGATCATCGCGCGGCGTACAGGCGACAAGAACGAACATTTTGAAGGAAAAACGATCGAGAACATCGTTTGAGGAAAGAATACTCGTCGGATCGCGCCCTTCTGCTACGACTACAATTGCTATTGAGAGAGAGAAAGTGCGATAAAGGGGAGAGACAGAAAGAAAGAGAAAAAGAGAGGTAGAGAGTGCAAGGCATGAGGACAAGTGTAATAAAAGGAAAGATCAGGGAAACTGTGAAATGGCACGGGCGTGTGTGTGTGTCGGTCAAATGTGCGATAGAGTGAGAGCTAGATGGAGAGGAAGAGAGAGATAGTGGACCGAGAGAATGAAAGTTGAGTCAGGAGAGAGAAAGAAAGATGAAAAGAGAATGGAGGGGAGAATTTGGAATGTTATCTTCGCCTGGATTATGAGAACACAGAAAAGATATATGAAGTGAGAAAGCGGAGAACGGGAAAGGGAAAAATTAATTAAAGAATATGTCAAAGCGCACGAGTAATGAAACACTCGAATCGCGATTTCATGGATTTTGCTCGTATTTCTTTCGTGGTCCTTGGTCTTTTTGTAATTGTACAATCGAGAGGTTTTACGTTGTAACGAGGAACTGCACACACTTCTACGTATGACTTCGGTACGCGAGAGCACACGACACACGAGTACACGAAAAACACCCATATGCAAGGACAATTTTTACACGCGAGAACATACGTACATACGTATCATCATACAACACACGAGATAAAAAAAAGGTATGAATAATAATTAAAAAAAAAGAAAAAAAACGAAAAAAAAAATAACGAAACAATCACACACGAAAGCATACAGTAAGTCGAGACAAGAATGTAAGTGATATATAATCTAGACATAGAGGAAGCGTTTGTGTAAATTCGGCGTTGGTTCGAAATGCTACTTCTCCATATGAGAACTACTTACGAGGAAGCCTATTCGTAATTTTATAATAATCATTATAAAAGGTATCGCCTAATTACAATTACGGGACATTGCACAATTTTACCATTCGAAAACAACGGATTCGTTCGTACGGATCGCCCATCGAGTAAATGATAATTACCTACGAGAAGCTTTTTTTTTTATTAAGACCGTAGCGTAGATCGTAAAGTTACAAGAAAAGCGCATTACATGTAAATGCTCGGAAATCTCAGAATACTTGTAAGTGTTAAAAAAAGGAAAAAAAAAGAAACGGAGCGAGCGTTCACTGTGCCCGCGACCGGCATTGATTTTTAAACGATATATATTATTATTATTAATGAGTAAGGAGAAAGAGGTAAAATTAAAAGTTGTATAGTAAACATTTTCATTAAATATATTGTCCGTAATGATCTTTACAACGAAATTCACCGTTTTTCGAGACAAGTTTTGGCGATGAGAGCGAACTTTTTTTATTTAAAAGGGAAAAACAAAAACAGAAACAATCCTTGAAACCCCGACTGATAATCTGTACACCCGCAAAAACTATCGATCGTTAAACTCTGAGGCGTCACCGACGCAAGCTTCCTCGTTTATTTATTTTGCGCGCCGGCAAAAAACAGAATTACAAAATTGTAAATGAGATCTTTGAGTCGAAGACGCCTCAGACTCAGAACAGCAGTCTTCAGTATCTTCGATGAGCAGTTATAATAGTAATTAAACTATTCTACATTTATCTATAACCTATAATAAACTGTGAAACAAGTGTAAAATAAGGTGGTTTTTATTTCATCTTGGAAATCTACAACTGTATTATTTACAATGGAGATACATTATGCTTAATTTCAACTTCCTGTTTACAGTAGTTTATTTCACTATGGTCTCCACAGCGTTTATAAACGTTTCCAATTCGTCTTTGTTTAATTCTAAGCCCAGTATACGTTTCTTTTCCTTGTTTTCAATCATAAGGTCCAACTGAAGAAGAGGTTCCCTTAAGGAAGCCAACTTACTTGAACCCATTACAAGCTGTCAGTAGTACTGTAATTAGTATGCAATTATTCTAAAATTTGCTTGACAATATTACCTTTAATCTCCAATCGAAGTCTACTAAGGTTTCATGTTTTTCTTTGGAACATTCTTTTAACAAAGCATTTGTTAACTGATCTCTTCTCACTTTCAAACAAGTTAATATACTTTGCTGTATGTGCTCTGGTAGATCATGATATTCTTGAGGCATCTAAACAAATAACACTATGTTATAGGATATAATTAAATACAACAAAATTAGAGTTATACCTTCTCCTCTGTTAAGTATAAACAAGCTGGATTCCTTAAGAGCATGGATATCAATTTATATGTCTCTTCGTATTCTTCTCTGCTCCAATCGATGCTGCTTGTAAATCTGTGGTAGGATGGCCCAGGTCTACCACATATTTCATCCACACAAGCGTGTAATAACTATATTAAAGTGATTAAACTTTCATTGACAACAGGTCAAGTATTAAGGACAGTAGAGAGGGTTTAATGTTGTACTTACTTCTTCCAAAACTTGAATCTTATCCTCACTGAAAAGGTTAAGATACAAAGGCTGACCAGTTTCCATAATTACATTAACACAAAGACTCTTCAAATTTCGACCGTGAGTAAGAATACCGGATGACAATCTTCAATATTAAATAATGCTAAATGTTGCTGAATTTACATCTATGTAACATTATACTAAATTTGTATTGGATGTACATTGTTTTGTTTATGATTCATAATAAAATGTAACGTTGATTGTAAAGGTGTATGTATGTGTTTTTCAAATACAATTGAAAATACACATGTTTTATTTGTGTTGTGTAACTAACACTTTATTCACTTTAATTTTGACCAATTTTAACATTCTGAAAAATAAGATAGTACACAAAACTTCATGTGTGATACTGTGGGGTCATCTACGGTAAAATGCTTAAGCTACTAGTCTATTAGTACTGAATATTTCTTGTAAGATGACGCCAGCATGTCCTCGAAATAAAAATCTACCGAAGAATAGTTGGCGCGGAATATTAGTATTTCTTAACAATTTCCATCTTAAAAAATTGCTCCCAATTTGCTCCCTCGGAATTTAAAAAGCAAAAATTTGTTGTCTACAAAATAGATAGTAATATTATTACACCACAAATATTATGGTACCAAAAAATTGCTCCTGCTCTGTTTTATAATATTCAATGGTCAGATATCTTAATAACAACTTATTCACAAGGAGCAATTGAAATAATGTTGTTACATACAGATCAGGTATGACGTCATACAGTAGGCGCTATTGTTGAAAAAAATTCAGATTTCCTCCTGTCGTCATAAATTATTTTAGAAAATTCTAATTTTGCATTACAATCTATTGTCCATTCATATTACATTCATCCTTTAAACAGATACATACAGTGAGATACATACATACATATACATACACATACATACGGCACTAGAGAGGGAGCAAAATTAATAAGTTAAACCTTCGAGAAGACGGCAGCAAAATTAATATTTTCCATCTAAAACAAATAGGAATATCAGATTTTCAAGGATAGTGTGTTCTTCTTTATTTTCCTTTTATGATAGTCATTCCCTTCTGAATTAATCTCAGATGCATATAAGAAAAATGTATTGAAATATAATTCGGTGGTAAATATTCTATTTCGTAGTAATGAGAAGTGGCGCGCGAGGGAGGTGACCAATCCGTGCGTTCCTCACACCGGTCGACCAATCATAGCCAGTCATGGGCAGCCTAACAGTCATTCTTCTCAGGAGAGCTGGACCGATTAGACGTGAAGTGATCTCGCTCGTGGCGAAGTAAGTATTATTACTTGTTACTTTAAATTATTTATGCTTTGTGTCTTTGTTAGTACTCTATCGTTACTGTCGTTTAATATCTATGCAAATTAGTGTAAATAATCATAAATTAACTCTGTATTGCTAGATAAAGTGAACCGGGTTCACGATTTCTATTCTCCCTCCGATACCACTTAATATTTAGACTGTTTTTGTTCACTTTGCAATCTTTGGCGACATTCCTCAAGTCAATAATTGTTTCCTTTTTATTCAATCATTGTGAATTTAGTATAACTACTTCGTATTAATGTGTATTTTCTGTTTCAGAATGCCGGCTAGACGGAACGTGCCGCCGATGAGACGACTGCGGACTCCCATTAGAAGCAATTCGGCGGGAAACTGGTGACTTTTGATAACGTATTAGAACAAAATAGGTGAAACATATTTCTATTTTATTGCATTTTCGTTGTTTTTACATTAAACATAATTGTGACTTCATAATTAGCTCTGCTAAAATCAAATAAGAATACTTTGGGGAATTATTGCACATTCAAACGCGTAATTGAAGCATTCAACATGGCTTCCTTGTTAGAAACCGTTAGAAACCGTTAGAAACTTTAAACGAGATGCTTCCAGAATTTTCGGTTAGAAATACTCGTACCGTACTGCATCTCGGTCGCGAAATTATTTCAATTTTAATAACTTCACCGGTTTATCTTTATGATGTTATCGTATTTGCATTTATATACAGTTTCGGATGTAAGTGTAATTATATCGAAGCTGCGTAATTTATCATGCTCATCGAAGCTTGACTAAATTACGAAATTTTGATATTTGCAATAATTTCCGAATATTTATAAAATTCGGTACGCGATTTAGACAAAAAGTACGAGTAAACGTATTCTTAAATTCTAATAACGAATGTCTTCAATATAATATACTAATAACAAATATATATGAGTAATGAATACAGAGAGATGAGAATTACTTTGAAATATTTTGCGTAGTTAAATTCATATTTGCATTTTAACGCATATTTCTCATTGAATGACAATTTTGTCAACGTAAACATTTGGTCGATATAAAAATAAAAAGGATAAGCCGGTGCACGTGCGCCGTATTGTGTTTCTTTCCCCTCCTTTTTTTTTCAGAGTTTGGTGGCCGCGCGCAAGGCGGTCGAGTCGAGTCAGTGTTTACAATCGTACAAGTTGTTTATGTTTGCGCGCAGCGAACTGTCTCAGATTACAATCTCACCGGAGATATCGTTAGGTCCTCGCGAAAGTCGAGTCAGTGTTTTTTGCGTATAATCGATTACTTTCAGAGTTTCGGGACACTCTTTGCTTTTTTAGTCGCGGAAATAAAGTCATTAGTTCGCCGGCTTGGATGTTCGGTCGCGATAGTCTTTTATTTTAATTTTTTTTTCTATTTGAAAGTATGTACTCGTTCGGAAAAGTAGAGTCAGTGCATCACGGAAGAGGATGTTTTTGGGCGAAGCTATACAAAGAGAGATTGTAAGTATCTTTATATTTTATTATTTACACTGTTCAACTGAAACAGCTAGAATTTTCAGAAGAGGTTATAACGAATTCTGTTCCTTTTTTTTCAGATTTTTCCAGATCCTGCATAAGCGACCACTACAGATGATATTCTTAAGCGAAGCTACACGATTTTTCGAGATTCTTCGAGTCTTCGAGGGAGCTCTTCTGTCATCGGGTGAGTCGCATGCTTTTATTCCTCCAGTCCCCAATCATGTCGTAGGACAATTAGTCCGAAGCGGCACGGGCGACAGGTTGTATACGTGCTTTTGGCGAGTACAGTGAACGCGGATATGCAATCGTACGATTGCGTATCCGCGAGTAGTATTTGATCTGTTATTTTTCTTAGTTAGGTTAGGGTCTTCTTGTACGCCGCGCTTATTATTAGTAATATAATTCATAAATATTTTGTATTCAAAGTATATTTATGAGTTAAATATTCAATGTTTGATATGATGCAGATGAAACCACATTGGATATTTTGCATTTTTTTTAGTGCTTCAATTTAACATGAAATCTTGACATTTCAAGATAGAGCGATCTATTATTTAAATAATTGTTATTTTTTTATTAATTGAGTATATGTCGTGGTAGTACGTTATTCATTTCACTAAAAAATGCAGTAATTTGAAGATGATGCGTATAATAATTTCATTGTAGTCACTTCAGTATATTGTATACTCATTTCCATTTATGAATATAGCATGAAATAGTTCTACGTAAAGCGAATTACATAATATAGAAAATACAATAAATTCGCAATAGCCTATAAATAACGGTCAGCTGATAAAAAAAATAATATTCATATCATTAATGTGTGCAAATAAATATCGTCGGTAGATTCGAATATAAAGTAGAAAAAACAGAAACCACACCGGTATGTTTATGATAGAGAGGAAAACGTGGTGGTGCCTTCCTGGATAGGCATGTGTAGCAGTTAGCGCAATACCACGAGACGCGACAGCACGTTTCAATCCCGGAACCAGTGTCGCGAGACACAAAGGTATCATTCGTATTTGCAAGTTCCATGAAATAGTGGAACACGTGTACTGGGAATCGCAATAAAGTATCGGTGCATAAAAAGAAGACGTATTAAGTTATGTCACCTGTGCGTCGATATGCACGCCCTAGTGAAAAACCGCGTGTTATGGAATAATTTAACACGTTGTGCATGTATGACCATTGAAAAGTGCATTGCGATTTCCAGTTATCGTGGCCGATGTTTTCGTTGCCACTGGCAAAGAACGCATACGGTTACGTACACGGGTAGAGTAATGAGACGTACTGGCGAGTACTCACGACCACTTTAATGGAGTGTGAGCGTTAAATGCAGGGAAGGTACTAGTGTGTTTCACCAGCATGTATTGTGTTCCACAAACATATTTGTGTGGTAGGCGTATATACTCAGAAAGAATGAGTATTTATATCCCTGTCCTTTAAGAAGGACAGGCCCAGGGGTGTCCATCTACTACTTATGCGCAGCATTCTTCCTCTCTGGAGGTACCCTCACTATGGTACTTGGATTGACTCGCTCGAGTCAATTTGAGGTCGGTAGTCTGGAAAACCTACGAGGGGAAGCTTGTAATTGCTTGTGACTCGTGGGTGGCATTTGGACACCTTTGGTATTAGATTTAATTTTTATGATTTTTAGATTAATGTTTAGTATGTTAATAAAATTTTATTTCACCCGTTAGTGAGTTAATTATTATTTTCAACAGTTATACCGTCATTTGTAGACAAATAACGCAAAGGAAAATAACTTAAATTTATTTACTATTTGAATACAGTACCTATATGCATAATATGTATGTATATCAGTTTACTGTGAAGAAATTTAAGATTAACATATGTCTTCATTGATATTTTTAATAATGTATCTACAATTGTACATTAGCAATCTATACTAAATTATATCACAAATACGTACTACCACGTTATTCAACGAAAGAAATAAAAAGTAAGTAGTGTATTTTGATACACATTGATTAAGCCAGACCGTAACGTTCTGGATAAATATGGTATTACAGACCTTGTACAAGGAGGCATTTCGCGACGGGTAGATTTCTGCGTCAAAGTGATATGTTTGTTACACTTATGTTATGTCTTATATTGCCTTTGACGACGGGATCGCCCGAGGGTTATTCAATACATAGAGTCATTTATCTACTTGCAGAGTCTTGCTTAGAGTCTTAATAACTAAATTCTACAATATTAATAAATAGTCAATCTTTGATTTTCAATTTTTATTAATACAAAGTCGAGTCACTTTTATTGCAAAATGAAATGAAAAAGAATAAAAGAGAAGTAGCCCGTTAGAAGAGCAAAACGTAATAATTATTTTAGTTAGGATTTTCAGGATAATTATTCCGTGTTCGTTGCTCGAACCCTTTCACGTGCCCAGGTGCTACTTGGTTGGGCGAGAGCAACGGGGAACGATGACTTGATTTTATATAATAATAACATGTCTATGCGACTGGCAGTGCGTTAGCTTACCGTGCACGATGTACTTTCCACTTATGTGTGTGTGTGATTAGGCAGTGGAATTGCGTCGTTTAGATTTCTATCGATTAACATTTCATCTATAATTGTTCCGTGGAACAATTTTGCACAATTTCCGGTATCGGTCGTACATATTTCTTTGCTTGATACAATGTTTATAATAAAATTTCTATGGAATATGTACCGGTTTAGAGTATCTCGCTATCAGACGAGAAAATTAACGCGTAATCGATATAAAGTGTACCAAGTATACGTATATTGCTTAAACAATTTTTCTATTCTCGCAATGGATGCTAGCCTTTGCCAGTCGATTTCAGGAAAATGGTACGTACATTAGAGTGTGCAAGTTGAATATCACGTTCGGGTGTCGGAGGCGTCCCGGGACGTCCTCTCTAGGTGTCCGGTTGATTTGCACCCGGGCGCATGCTTGAGAACCGGGGAGTGTTGTGTGTTGGTGAGAATCTGTCTTTTGCCAAATTCTTTTTAAATATATAGCTAGGTAGGCAGGTAGCATACTTTCTGGTGTGTGAATGTGTGCGAGTAGACTGTAAGTAGGTAGGGGCCGGGGCAGGCTATCACAAGATCGGGTAGGCTCTGTAGGCTCGGGTAGGCTCGCGTAGGTTTCGCGCGATAGTCCTGCTACCGGGATAATTTGCAGCGTCGATTCGAAACTGGTCCAGACGGAGCATGCTGTCTGCTTCCGATTTCGATTTCGATTCTTCAAATTTGGCGAACCCCAAGGGGGTCGTCGTCGCGGTCGCGGTCGGAAGGATAGGATTGTCGAAACGAACGACCTGCTCGATTGCACTCGTGGTACGATCATACAGACTCTTCGAGTCATTGGTCGTCCACAATCGAGCAGCATTAGGGTTTCAGGGGGCGGACCGCCGAAGAAAAGAAGAGGCCCAGCACAAACTGTGTACTCAAGAGGGCAGCAACGAATGGCTCTGTATCTTCGGATGTGGAGTCATTACTAAATATTTATTCACTGTACTCGCCTGTAATTGTAGTAGTAGTTTGTATATTGGCCGTCATATCGGCCCAACGACCAGCAATATTGGGCAAAATCGCGGATTGAATTAGTGTTGCGGATGAGACTAGATCACGGGTTGCATTAGCTTTGTAAATTGTCAATATTAATCTTCCTAATTGCTTGGAGAATAGTGTTGCGTATGATGAGATCGTGTTTGCATTAAGATCATTTTTATATTTTCAGAGTAGTGTTGCGAATGATGAGATCGTGTTTGCATTAAGATCATTTCTTTATTTTCAGGGTAGTGTTGCGAAAATGACTGAGCGCGATTGCTTATTACTTTTTATTTAAGTCGTTTTCTTTTGTTGAATTAGTGTTGCGATATGAATTGATCGGGTTTGTTTTAGTGTTGCGATCGATGAAATGCCCAATGCTGGAACCACAGCAGAACCACAAGGTAGCTGAAATAGCTGCATTGAGTGGTTTACGACAGCCCAGGTGGCTGCACTAACTGCATCAATCTAAAGTTAGTGTTGCGTATTGCACATTGAAGGTGCACGGGAGTTTTTTTGATTTTTGGATTCAGTAAATTAGAGTGGCAAACAAAGGAGACACTCTAATTATTGACAAATGATTAGTGTCGCGACTGATAAGCGCCTATGTGGCTGCTATTTTTTACTTATTTAGCGCCCTATTGTGGCTGCTATTTTTTACTTGTTTAGCGCCCTATTGTGGCTGCTATTTTTTACTTATTTAGCGCCCTATTGTGGCTGCTATTTTTTACTTGTTTAGCGCCCTATTGTGGCTGCTATTTTTTACTTGTTTAGCGCCCTATTGTGGCTGCTATTTTTTACTTGTTTAGCGCCCTATTGTGGCTGCTATTTTTTACTTGTTTAGCGCCCTATTGTGGCTGCTATTTTTTACTTGTTTAGCGCCCTATTGTGGCTGCTATTTTTTACTTGTTTAGCGCCCTATTGTGGCTGCTATTTTTTACTTGTTTAGCGCCCTATTGTGGCTGCTATTTTTTACTTGTTTAGCGCCCTATTGTGGCTGCTATTTTTTACTTGTTTAGCGCCCTATTGTGGCTGCTATTTTTTACTTGTTTAGCGCCCTATTGTGGCTGCTATTTTTTACTTGTTTAGCGCCCTATTGTGGCTGCTATTTTTTACTTGTTTAGCGCCCTATTGTGGCTGCTATTTTTTACTTGTTTAGCGCCCTATTGTGGCTGCTATTTTTTACTTGTTTAGCGCCCTATTGTGGCTGCTATTTTTTACTTGTTTAGCGCCCTATTGTGGCTGCTATTTTTTACTTGTTTAGCGCCCTATTGTGGCTGCTATTTTTTACTTGTTTAGCGCCCTATTGTGGCTGCTATTTTTTACTTGTTTAGCGCCCTATTGTGGCTGCTATTTTTTACTTGTTTAGCGCCCTATTGTGGCTGCTATTTTTTACTTGTTTAGCGCCCTATTGTGGCTGCTATTTTTTACTTGTTTAGCGCCCTATTGTGGCTGCTATTTTTTACTTGTTTAGCGCCCTATTGTGGCTGCTATTTTTTACTTGTTTAGCGCCCTATTGTGGCTGCTGTTTTTCTATTTTTGTTGTTATTGTATTGAATTATTATTATTGATTATTGTGCACCAAGTGTTTACGTTGAAAATACTGTTGATAAGAATATTTATGTTACTAAACAAAATGTTCTATTTTTAATAATTCTGCAAATGTTCGTTACAATTTGTAATACACATTAAAAAATCTATGTATCGACAATGATGATAGATTTGATTAATTATTGACACATAAAAATTAAAATTAATTTGTAATTAAATTTTAATTAGAGTCCTTAGAAGTGACTATTCGTTGTTAGAGTTGGTGATATATTAATTCTTGAATCGTTATACGTAATTTGCAAATGCCATTGATATCAAAATAGTGTTTATTTTTGTAAATTTTGGAATGTCTGCTAAAATCAAAGTTTCCTCGGGACTGTTGTTGATTATGATAACTAATGAAAAGCTTGCAACTGAAAAAATATGCAAATGCAATTCGATCCTTCATATTGATACCAAATTTTCACCTAGAGTCGCTCTCAATTTGCTGATACTATCTCTGTACGAAAATTATTTAAATTTCGATACAGTAAAATACGATTGTTTCTTGATTTGTACTTTGACACACGAAAAAGATATAGTCATCAGTTAATCGATAAAAGTTAATTGTATAAAAAGTTAGTGTTTTTGTATTCTCCAAAATTTAGTCTTGTTCGATTTTTGCATAGAGTCGTATTGAATTTTAAATTCAGTCGTTTAACAACTTTTTTAGTAAATTCATTTTTTAATTTTTTGTATACTCGATTAAAATGTCTGACACTTCCTTGTCCTTTATGTGTACTAATCCCTTCTTTTTCAGCTTTTAATCCAAAGGACTAATTTTTGTTTCAGGTTATTTACAGAAATTTTATACACTGAACCCCTGTTTGCCAAAATGAAGAGTCAACAATCTCAAGAAATTTGATAATATTTTTCTAATTGTTTTAGTTTCTGTTTCAGGAATTCTCATGGGATCAAATTTTAATTTATTCAATTGTAATGTCGATAAAAATGTATTGTTATGTTCTTCTATTCTTATTGTTGTTATATATGTATGTTCTCTTAAATTTCTGTTCCAGAAATCATCCTAGGATTGAATTAATGCTCGCTATAAATTATTATGAATGATTAACTATTATGAATTATTAACTGTCCACTGAGTTTCTCTTTCAGGGATCATCTTGGAATCAAGCTACCTGTTCATCTGAATTAATTGTTTATAATCTATAAAAATGTTTTGTTATAATCCTCCCAGTTTCTGCTTCAGAAATCATCATATGAAGATTTTTCTTCACCCGATGATCAGTATATGAAGGTTTCTCATCAACCGAGGATTGTCATAAAGCCGAAGGGGTTTAAAAAATAACTGCGTTATTTGAACAATTCGTTTCCATGAGCATATCAATCAGGGGGAAGCAATGCAATTTTTTTCCGTCCAGAGCGGTGGGGACAAGTGCCCCTCCTGGCTACGTCCATGTTAGTTTCTGCGTTGAATTTAGTTTATGTTGTTTAGTGTGAATGGTGTTTGGGTGATATAAAAATTGTAAAAGGGGGATAGGTGTAGAACGCATGTGATTCCATCTATCCTCCTTGGGTCTCCATTCGCAGCAACCTCCACGGGGTGAGACCTGGGCAATCATTATTATTTGGGATATAACTGGCAACCATAATCACCTACAAGTTGACGAACTATATATCAAATAATATGAGCTAATTGGCTGCGAGCTTTTGCTTATTTTAGTCAATTAACGGACTCCAATCATTCGCGCGCTTTTTCCACCGATCGTCCGTTCACTTGTGCGATGTAGCTAGATATAGGGTAGGCTGGATGTATTCACTTCTTTGATCACCTTACTATCTGGGTTATTTGTAGAGATATCAAAAAAGTTTATTCGCAAAAATTATTGGGTATTGAATCATTTCATTAAAACAATATTATATACACCCGCGCACTTCCTCCGTGTCCCTTCCTTACTAGGCGACAGAATGAATACGTGTGAGTGAGGGGTGTTCCTAGTGATCAATTAACGGACCTTAAATTATTGGGCTTCTACTCTAATTCACGAATTCATTGTTCTCAGTGTTCTTATAACGCAGTAGAGGTCGCTAAAGTTCAGAGGTTTTTAAGGTGCTGGAGTTACAAATTCGTAGAACTACGAAGCCCGTAGGGTGACAGCAGTTGACAATTCTATTCTTATATTACATAGTAAAGTTATATCTCATAGATGATTATATGTACCTCGTCTGTGCTTATACGTCACTTTTGACGTTTGCGTTGAGGTAAACAATACTTTGTCATTCGGATAAACAAATTCAATATGGGAAAAACGACGAAGGTGGTCGTTTGTGGAATGAAAGGTGTAGGAAAGACAGCTTTATTGGAACAGCTTATTTACGGGGATGTTAATACCAACAAAGTAAGCATTTAGGTTATGTTCATATGAAATATTTGCAAGGGTACTCATTCATATTATTATTATTAATACGTGACAGCCCTGAGAATTACATTTATCTTTCAGTTACATAAAAAACGAATGTAGTATTATCCAAGATTTTGTAGACTCAGTGTTGCATAGATACTTTTTGGAGTAATTTACAGATACAAATGTTAAATAGCAGTTTATTTCTTCTCTTCAAGATTTTATGAAATTTATGTTGTAAATGCATATTATATATTCACAGTCTAGTTATCATTGTTGAGACTGTAGAGTGTATGCTGTGTCCTGCTTGAAAAATTTATATCAACATTTACAGGCATTACAGCTAGCTTCATTAAGGATACAGTGGCACTCTGATAGCGAATTGAACAAAGTACATTGAACGAAGTACATTGAAGCTTAATACGTATCGGTAAAGAATTCAGCCTCTAATGAAGCTGGTTGTAATGCTGTTGAAATGTTAGAATATTGTTTTCAAGTGGACATGGCTTGTGTCCGCAAGCCTCAGCCAGTGATAACAAAATATTACATACCTACTTTTCTATATTAATACAACTGTTATAATTAAAGTTCATAATGTAACAGGAAATTCATCCCACGATCGAGGACATTTACGTCGCGAACATAGAAACAGATCGGGGCACTAAAGAGAAAGTACGATTTTATGATACAGCAGGACTGGAATCTCTACAAAACAATGCTAATAATCAGCAACTTCCACGACATTATCTTGGTTTTGCGGATGGCTACGTTTTGGTCTACGACACCGCGAAACCGGAATCCCTGGATGTACTCTTTCCATTGAAGAAGGATATCGACAGGAATAAAGATAAAAAAGAAATAACTGTGATCGTTGTCGGTAATCGGACAAAAGCGGAAGAGGTGTCCCACAGTTTAGAGAATACGGCGAGTAAAGCGGCGAACTGGTGTACCAGAGAGAAGCTTAAACATTACGAAGTAAATGTCATGGACAGGGTTAGCTTGTTCGAAGCGTTTGTTCATCTGTCTTCTAGATTGAATCCTCCCGCGAATAAGAGCTCTTTCCCACAGCTGAGTATGGGGAGAAAGAATGTGAAAGTTGAGGCACCATAATTGTGTTTATTTACTATCGGGAAATCTAAATCCACTGATATCAATGGTATTCTTTTCTACCATTGACACTGGTTTGTTTTTGTTTGGTACGCTTGAGACTCGAATTATTTCATTAAGAGACAAGCGCACATGTGATACTGTAATATGTACTTAAATTATCAATTCGCTCGAGTGCTTGCTTACAGTCTGATCTGGCGTATGAACCTCATGAGTTCGTTCATGTAACGTTCAACTGACAGCTCGCTCCGCCCTTTGTTCTGTACCTTTTGCGCGTCTTTGTTCCTTGTCTGTACTTAAATATTTGTTACCAGAGAGGCAGAGATCGATAAATAGGTGAGCTACTGTATAAAGATTATACAAATAACGTGTTGACGAAATGATTCACCATTCTATCGGTTTCGTTAGCTGCGGTAAGCAAATGTTTGTTCCGAAAGCGTGATCCCAGAGCTTACTGCTGATACCGAAACCTGTGGAGATGTGAGTTTTAAGGTGTGAGAGATCTGATTAGCGTGTAATTAAAGATGAAGAAATTGTTACCTAATTCGTGATGCGAGAAATGATGATAATTGTGATTCCTTTTCATGGTGTAGAGGTAGGATCCGGCCCTCGGCGCGCCGTGATGTAAATAATAATGAATTAAGTCGTAACAAACGTAGCCTACGGGATGAAATTTGGTGAGAATCAATTGCACCGTGTTAGCGGCTTTTTACTTATATTAGGTGTAAGTGCGTCGACGTGAGTACCTGTTGTAGTACCGGCGGCAATAAAATAAATCATTGTCCGAGAAAATAACGCTTCGTAGAGATACCACAATAATTTTGCTATCGATAAACCGGCCACAGGGGGAAATACTAATCTTCTGTTATCGAATGGAGCCTTAGGGAAAAATATACAACGGAATAAAATAATCAGCTCATACATACTAGACAATGCGTGCGCTAGGCAGCTTAATAGTTACTCCTTATTTTACGGAGTGCTTACCTTATGATGAACACCGTGAAGTATAAAGTGTAATGAAATGAGTAACTTCGAAGTGGCTGGTGGCTTGAAATGAAAGAGTTTCCGGTGAAGCACGTATTCTAGGATACTCCACAATAATATACCGAGTATATATGAGGACAAAGCTTGAAACAAGGTGTTTCCTAAAAAAGTTCGAACGAGACTGTTAAATTGGTTATTTATTATCTTACGATAAATAGTAAGTGTGTAGAAATACATTGTCAATCGAGAATGTAGAAAATAATTGCATTAAGATTAAAAGTAATTACCACTGGGATCGTCGGCAATACTATTGAATCCGGAGTAGAGGAAGTAAATGCAGACCGGAATCCATACGATCGGTACTAGATACCATGGGGTGATCGATATAGTCTCCAGCAGGTTCGACTGGAACAATCGAATCTCCCGATTCACCGGTAGATTCATCCATTCCCAATACTGGTCACCTAATTTTCCTACTTGACCGAGTATAGGCGCATTCCAGTCAATGAGGTCCTGTCAAATATTGTCGAACGATCGTCACACACGCGCGCGCACACATACGCCTCCACACAAACATACACGAATCGGAAAGTCTCTTATTTCAAATTGTCGATACGGAAAAACAATTTCTTTTTCAAGCAAGTTTGAAAAATTATCAGAATGGTGTACACCTAAAATAGATGTTTGACTTTGCAGGTCAGTGTCCGTATGAAATACTTCTTCGGTCATGGTTATTTTGTTACGATATTTGACAGAAAAAAAAGAATGACTCTTAAATCACTCTCGTTAGAGATTGCAAACATTGCGAGCAAGTCGATTTCCGTAAACGTTTGACGGCATCGGAGAGCTACGAGCGATTAAAGATAGCCCCGTTACGTCACTTCCAAGAAACGGATACAAGCCCGGATTTCAAAGTATAAATCGCCACTCACGATGAAACGAAAATCTTCGCTGATAATCGCTTCGTGGGAATGTTGAGTAACAATTATACAAGATTCGCCACGGCAGTCGAGCAATGGATGACAGAAAAAAAATATCATTCTCGATTAAAACCAACTATACACATGAAACTAAACGGAGAAATCATTTGTAACCGTCGAACAAGCGTGAAGGCCAAAAACTAGTAGCCTGATAACACCAAAACCTTATGCACGAAGGCTGACAATAATGAAGAGGAAAAATGACGCATGGAATGCAAAATTTACAATTCTTGATTCAGGTTTCATTTCAATGTAAACGAACACGCGACCACTTCCAGTGTCCACCAATCCGTCGCGATTTTTCAAACCGTGCTCGAAACGTGACACCGTCGTAACCACCATCGAGAACTCACTTCGTATTCCTGGTACTTCTCTTGCTCGTTCACCGTGAAGTCCTCCAACAGATGAAAAGCGCTCCTCGAGTGAGGATTCTCGTCGAGAGCTTTGTCCAAGCTCCGATTTTCGAAGTAACCGAGCACTTTCTTTCCGCCTGGATGGTATCTAAGGAACTTCCGTAAGTCGTAGGAACGATCTCTATAACTAATCAGAAATGTGTTCTCCGTCGTCTCTACCGCCGGTTGTCTGTCAACGACCCGCGTTTCGATCGGCTTCCGATCACCGCCGTTCTTCACGTGCCTCTTCATCGAGTTGATATATGATTCGCGGGGGCGGCCGATCTTCCCGCGCGCGTTCGAATCGACGACTTGACCGAAAGTGAACAGATCGTCTATAGGGACGATGTTAAAACTGTGGGGGAAGGGAAACGTTTGCAACGACGACACGATTTATCGTACCTCGCACACGTTCGAATGCCTTTGATAAGGCTCCGCTGTGTCGCGCGTAAGTTGTATGGTACTATATGCGAATAGTCAAGCGGATCATATCACCTTTGAGAATCGTTATCTACGGTGATAAGTTCCTGTCTATACGCTTACGCCATCGTCGAACCTTTTTATCCCCCCCCCCTCCTCGTATTTTTAAGTCAACGGTTCTCTGTGTGTTGTATGTCCCGACCTCGTGGTCGCCGTTATCAGAAATCGGTATTAGGATTGTTATTGGCGAATCGATATATTGGGCCCGACAATCGACGGGTGTTATCTTGACGGATAGTTCTCGTGGGTAACTAAACATTTCTTAAACGCATATATTACGTACGACGTCCCGTCAATCGTAGTTTGTCCATATCATGCCCTCGGTGTAACGTCGAACATGCGTACATACGTATAGGGAGATGGACGACTGATTTCACAGAGAACTGTAGGGTGGAATTACTGAAGTGTTTTACTCTTCCTCGTACTCGGCAATAAATAAGCTTTTTATTTAAACGTTTCTCTGGATATTCGTGTATACAACATACCCCTATGTACGATTCTAGGTTTTTAGTGTCTACGAACGCAGGCAGCGGTCGTGCCCCCGAGAGAGTCGTGTATACTTCGAGAACGAAACAGAACGGAAGGATGAAACGCTGCGCGTGACGTATGTATAGTAAATCCTGGATGAGTATTCGAAGGCTCCGCGGCACTAAGAAGAGGTACCCAGGTGTAACAGTGACTTTTCGTACCGAGGTTTAGCGCAATGATGGAGCTTCAAATTCTGATGTCAATGATATTTGTTTCAAACGCATGTGGCCATTAGTTTATGAAGTATTTAATGTTCAATGCCTCGAGGAACCTTCGAATACTCATCGAGAATTTACTGTATGTACAGTCATGAGGAAATTCGGCTTCCGTTAGGGGAGAAAGCAGCGTAAGGGCCTCCTACCACATAGGAAATTGTTTTCAAGTACTCGAATCAATTTTAAATTGAATGTTAATTTGGCATAAATATCAGTAAATCCCGAGACCAAGTGGTAGGAGGCCAAACCCCTTACGTTGCTTTTTCTCCTAACGGAAGACGAGTTTGTTCGTCAGTGTACTCTGGTATTCCCCCGAAGTTAGTCTCCGGGCATTCGCGCTGCCAAAAATATAGCGTTATTCGAGCGTAAATCATCGCCATCGCGACAATGGCGATGAGTAACGGTTGTCGTCGGTATATTCTCTGATATATATACTATATATCAGCATTGCCATCGATGTTCCTCGAGCCCAGGTACAACTATACAACGACCCTGTTGTTGACGAAGACGGACCGAAATGGCCGCTCTTGCTCGCTAGGGTATAGGGTACATGTCCCAATTACTGCCACCTTAAGATCCTAGACTTCATTTAATCATTTTACGTGTTGTTTGACCTAAATATCGTCTCATTTTTTTAGCATAACATTATTTAACATTTCTTTCACGAAAAAAAGTACTTTTACACATTAAATATGAAGAATTGATTATTAATTAATTAAATTCTGCGAGCAATTCCAGTGTCCCTATAAGTGTCACCTGAAAAGTTAGAGTGATTCTTATATACTTTAGGGATTCATTTTGTACAGTAGATATAGGTTAAACAGTAAAATAACAGCTCTTTCTTTAATATGACTTACCCCTTCACTTTTTACTTACGTAGTTGCGTTTTCGACGTTCAAATTGTATTTTCATTTTTTAACATTACTTTGCAAATACCAGGTACATACAAGCACACGTATTTCTTTGTAAATTAGCGTCGCAATTTAATAATCAAATTTTTTAACAGCATCTTTTATACGTTACGTTCTTATTAAGTAAAATAAATAAAGTAGCAGTATTAGGGACACTGGCAGTAATTAGGATATTTACCCAGTAATTCTTTCGCACGTTGATAACGTCATCGATACATAATCCGCCCGATCTGAGGGGGGAAGGGAGGGGGGTGGAGAGAGAACGAAACGGTGATTCGTGCGCGGACTTTGGTTTCCTGGTATCTGGGGACTATTGATGTCGAACCGGATGTACACACATTCGATTATCACGTCGTTTGTTTGAGTTACGACATCTCCGTTTCCGGTTTCTATTTCTCATTTTGCGCATACGCGGTTCGTCTGGGGTTTCCCGCTTTAAGTACGATAATTGAAAATTCGATCTCTAGGAGATCATTCAATGGAAATTCTCGGACACCTACCCTTCGACTTAAGTAATCGGGTTTTGTCGGAAGTGTATAACTACGACGAGTCACACGCGTAGTCGTAACGAGGTATATGTACAGTCTAATTGCACACACACGCTATTATGCCCTACTCGTACGGCGCTATTAGGCGAGTATAGGCCAGAGGTGGACAAAATTCATTATCTGGATAAAAATTTTCGGATAATGAGTGAAAGATAAGGTAAAAGTACTTCATCACTTTTCATTGATTGTATGTATCTAAACTCCGATTTTTATAATAAAATATGGATACACTACCGAAAAGCACCTACGCCCGATGACCCTGACCTTGACATATATTATCAAAGTCACCTCCTCCCTCCCCCAAGGAACTTTTAAAAGGTATAAACTGTCGATCATTGGTTATTAAAAAGCTATCAACAGAAAAATTGCTTGAACTATCTCTAACCAAATTGGTCTCTAATCGGAAATTACGGTTTTCAATCCTTTTTGGTTAATAACTTTTTAATAACTAATGATCGGCGGTTTAAATCTTTTAAAGAGTACTCAGGAGAGTCACCTTGATAACATATATCAAGGTTAGGGTTATAGAGTGTGGGTGCTTTCCGGAAGTTCACCCTAAAATATTACTTCTTCTTGACTGAACAATGCTGCTTTTGCACTGTGTCTATTATTCGAATAAAATTGTGCCCATCTCTGGTATAGGCATATGTAATTTTGCCCCGCAAGAACTCCTGACGTTTCTCTCACCCCTGAGGTTCTGGAAGCAGTAGGAACGTATCGTATACCGTTTACGTGTCGATCTTCCGTATGGGTGGGACGACGAACGATCAGGTTTTTTTCTCCACGGTTGAAGGCTGGGAAAATTATAGCGAACTCTTTCATCGAGGCAATGCTCGACTGGGTTGAACATTCTTCACCCTTCCTTCTAATCCTCCGCTGAGGACACACGCAATATTCTGTTCTCTTTGGCGTAACGATGGGACCAAGCTGCCACGAACCCTTTATGAGAATCTCGAGAAACTAAAGTATAGTACTTTCAGGTTATAGTCTGCGTGATTTATACATTTATAACGTATCTGAAACTCTGAAATACAGTGTATCAGGAAGATCAATAAATTTTAGTATGATTTTATTTGGGATCTAATAGATCGTTCGACGTAGTAAAGGAATTTCCGTTTGATTTTAGGTTCTGTAAATAAATGTTCGACGAGTGGTATTTGCATAAGGATCATGCAGTCTAAGTTATAAATCTTGGGTCGTTTCAAAAGCAAGGTCGCTCCTAGGTTTGATGTTAGGTTCAAAAGAAATTGGAACTTTACAGAGCTCTGTTTCTTCAATTTCGTAATCATTCTTGGATCCTACCTTCGAATTCAGTTACTATTTAAATTTATATGACCGTGGTTCCCATCGCTACTTCGGTGTACTACAGTTAGAACAAAATCGAATCGAGATCTGTCGGGGGATACTATTATCGCCGTATTTCTTTTACACCAATTCTTCTCCGTTTCAGTTGACAGTTATATATATATATATATCTTCATTATTTGTACAACAGCATAAAGATAGAGAAATTATCGATTTATAGTAACAGGTTTCCCAACAGCCAAACCGATTTTGCTCTCCAACACAGTATCGATCACAATCAACTTTTGTACAACGTCGTTTCTCTGTTTTTTTTCACACGATTTTCTCATCATACCTTTTCCATCTCTCAAAACGTCAGATATCCTGTACGATTTATAAGCCCCTGACGAAAAAATAAGAAAAAAAAAACAAAGAAAATGGTCGTCGAACAACGCGGAAGACCGACCCGAAGCGTGTATGTCGTTTAAATCTGAACACGAGCGCGCGGACACAGCGCTCTTTGCTAACCGAGAGGTTGTGGGGATGGTTCCACGTTTCCTCGCGATGTAGGGAAGTCTAATTTCAACCTACGACGAGTTAAAATAATTTCAACGTTTCTCTGGAACGATCTCAACTACCGATTCCGACGAGCGAACGATCGATATTCTACCTCGAACGAAATCCCATCGCGAACGAAAACGAAAAACAAAAACCGTCGTCCTGGTGACGTTCAGGCCGTTTTGTGGGAACGTTTTTTTTTTCTCGCGTCTCACGATAGAATTGAGCAAACGAATCGACGAAACGATTTCTCTCTCTGTATTATTTGGTAGGATTGCAATTCAGTGCAATCGCCGAGCTTTCATTTTTGGACTGAATTTTCTCTGTCTCTCTTTCCTCTCTGCCATTTCTTTCCCTTCTTTGTTTAGTTTATTCGCTTCGCACGGTTTAAACCCGTGTCACGGGTTCGACGGAAGTTTGATATTGCTTTGGTAAGCACCGATCTCGTTCGGCGATACGCGACGACGACGGGGGTAAGGTGATCAGTGTCGTTTCACGGGTCGATCGATCGGCCCGATCATCACTCGTCCGTCTCGCGATGGAAACGGGGCGGGAGGTGATTGCGAACCCGTGGTCGTCACGTCCGTCTCAGAAGTCCATCACCTCCATTTTGAACGGTTTACCCTGATGAAGCTTGTTTGGCACGATCTTCGTGATCGGGGGCGCGCTGTTGTTGTCGTCGTCGCTGTTTATATCTTCGTCCTCCTCGGGGAAGTCCTCCAATCGGTCGTGATACTCGTCCATCTGTGGACCAGAGATCAGGCACGATTAAATACACCAGTATATATCGTCTTTCGCGGATTGAAAAACAAAAAAAAAACGGTGAACAAACAATTACAGCGCTATGTCTACGCGTGTGTATGTGACCGTTTCGAAACTATTACAGCGCGTTGTATACTTTAGCAGTGAACGATGTGCGTGGCTAAGTGATATATGTATAGACACTTCAAGCGTATATAGAAACTTTTAAGCCTCGAATATTTCGATGCAACTTCAGTTTTTTGGTTCGTTTGGCCAGGTGATATAGAGCCACAAGATCTCTATCAAGCATATACAGAAGAGTGTTTCAAAAACATAGGAAAATCCGCAACATACAAATGCAAAACGGTAAAGGACTTTCCGATTTGTATTTGCTCGAGGAATATGAACGTTACGGATTGTCCCATCTTTTTGGGACACCCTGTATACTATCTTCCACGAGACGCGCAAAAGCTCCTAAAAACTCTCTGACGTCTGTAGATACCTACTCTCCTATATTCGCGTGCCTCTCTCTGTTCGTCGTGCACGAGCATTAGCAGCTGAACCGTGAGGTAAACGACAGTGCTAAAAGCGGCGCTCACACAAAAGTAGTAGGCTACAGGCATTCCGTAAACGTTACATGTTATACTACGGACTCACGTGTGTAAGAGGGGGGTAGCTACGGAAGAAGCGATTTAATCGACGTTACCGCAGACCGAACGGACGCTTCCCTACAACTGGCAGGTATACGTCCAACGTGAATCCATTGTGCTTCGTTCGAGCTTAATCGGTCGCGCGCCTCGAGCACCTGTACCTCCACCTGACACACCACCAGGTCTTGGATCAGTGGTCTCGGCGCGCACCGATCAAGTCGTCCTTCATCCATGATCGATATAAGATTCTAAGCTAGCTTATGAGCGTGCATTGTGTTGTTACCTTTCGATTGGCTATACTCGAAGCAGAAAGTAGCGAGTGACAACGTTGGAGAAGAATTTTTAGAAGTCGCTTCTGTGTTCACGTTCAGTATCAACATTTGCCTTAGTGTATTACTTTATGAAATGCAATTTTGCATAAAAATCCGCAGTGTCGTGAAAAGGGTGCCAATACACGCGTCTACGTTCTTTCTACTTCGAGTAATATTTGCGATCGGTGATGGCGAAGAATTTTGGTGGAAGGCACGATGTGTGTGAACAACGACGCGACAACAGGGTACCTCTGCACGGACTGTGACCGATCAGCGGCATTGTACTTTTCACGTGTAGGATCCGTAACGGTGGAAACAGCAGATGCTATGAGAATTTAGTTTAGACGGGAAGCACACACAAAGACATCGGTGCGTGTGTACAGAGATGTGTGAGTAGTATAACCAAATCGATCGATGGATACCGTGAACCATGTCGATGAAACGAGCGCGTAGAGGCTAGAATTTCACTTTTCTTTCTTCCATACTCACATCAACGTCGCCCATCATCTCTTTGGTAGACACTGTGGTGTCTATACGTCGTATACTGCCCTGATGGATGTCTACGTCGAGTTTGACGCACTGGAATCGCCTTAGTAGAAAAACGATCGGTATCGGCGCAATCCCCGCGCAGATGATCACGATCGCTACGGCCAGTATCCAGCTAGGGTAACTGGTCGCCACCGCCATACCCTAAAATGGAGGGATACGATTAACGATGCAAAGCTGTTTATCGTGGTGGCATGAGTGATACTTTTCAATTTAAATATTGATATGTAATGCGACGATAGATTCCAGTATCGATACCCAACTTATAAATATTGAAGTTTGGATATAATCGCTGCATTTGTCGTAACATAACAGGTCGTGAGGAAAATGGACCAATTACGAGCTTCTCATAAAGTTTGCGATTGATCGATTTTTTGTCCACACTGGTACCTGAGAATCTGCTTTAGTAAATATCAGCTTAAATAAATAATTTATTTTCATTTTTGAATTTTATTACTTCCAATTTAATCAATATTTTATTCTTGATATGCATGTGTATCGATACGTATCGATACAATTCCAATGTATCGTTATCACTGGATGGTATAGCATCTGTGGGATGTATCCTTACTTGCGTGGCGTCCCATGCGGAATACTGAGGTTTCTTGATGAACATCGACGCTATACTGGAGAGTAGAATACAACCCATAATTAGAGGGGCGAGAAAACGCCAAGTGACCTGCCAGTACGGCCCCGGTCTGTATCCCGTCATTTCTTCGATATCCTTGGTGAACCTACAAGATTTCGTATTTAATTATTCGCTGGTTCGTTTCTTTTGAATTTTTAATAATGGTGGAAGTTATTAAAATATGGTACTTTTCGTGGCCGTAGATAAAGACGACCGAGAGCATTTCCATGAGCGCGACCATCACCAGGCCGATAGTACCAGCGAAACTGTCGAACATCTTCAGCCAGTATTCTCCCGCGCCGGTGCAGAAGATCAGACCAACGAAGAAACATATGGTACACACCACCCCTAAGACAGAGAGGATCGTTTAGTACAGGGTGTGAAACAAAAAAAATGGGTTCGTAACTTCTGGGGTAGATAGTACTTGTCAAATGATGAACAAAGTCCTGATAAACATTGGTGGAAAAATTAATACTTTTAAAATCATAAACAATTTTCGGTTTCGGTTGAAGCAATTGACTTTCTCGCCTCGGGAGCTATCATATAATATGAAAAAGAAATGCAGAAAATTGTAAGTAAAACTAGTAAAAATTATGGAATATCTTTTTTAACCAGGAAAATGAGAAATGATAAAATAATCAATTATTTCCATACGGTAGGGTAGCTCTCGAAGTAAGAAAATCTGTCACTCTATCTAAAACAAAAAATTGTTTGTAACTTTGAAAATATTACTTTTTCGAACCACGTTGAATGAACCCTTTTTTTCTTTCACCCTGCATATACCACGATGGAAAAGGGGTCTATCGTGCCTGTAGGTAGGATAATGTAGGGAAGTCTATCGTACCTGTTATGTATTGCTTCTTGATTCTCTTGAAAAGATCTATGTCGAATATAACGCACAGCATGCCTTCCAGTATACCGATCTGGGAGCCCAAACCGAGAGCTAGAAGCATCATGAAGAAGATGCACGACCAGAACGGCGCACCAGGTAATTCGACTATTGCCTGCGTGAAGACTATGAAAGCCAGTCCTGTGCCTTCGGCGGCCTAACGATCAATCAGAATCGGTAAAGTAGGTATATCGTGAAACGAAACGTTTCGGAATCACCTTAATTTAGTAGCGACAATTTGATGAGAAAACCAGCCGCTTGACAGATTAATATTTATATGTATAAAGAGACGAAGAAAACGTTGGACTCTTACGTTATCCAACTGTTCGCTGAGACTACACCTGCCGAGAGTGAAGTTCATCGCAGACACGTTCAACTTGTTCACAATGTCCTCGTACTCGTCCATGGTGATGTTCGGATGCGTTATTAGTCCATTCTCGAAGAGTAAGTCTTTATTACTGGAAATGGGATAAACATTTGGCGTGAATTCTCTCCGTTGAAGTCTGAATTCAATAGCCGTAAAGTCTGATTAGTAGACTACAGATGTGATATGCAAATTTACAATTGTGAACACTAATATAGAAATAAAAAAAAATTTCACAGGAATTTCTTTTCTATACTATGGGTTTTAATATGTTAATGATAATGAATAAGTATAATAATATTAAATTTCATTGTAAATTTTATTTTGCTACGTTTTGCAATTCAGGGGACGTTATAAATGCATAAACATTCGTAGTTTACTGATTAGTATTAACAATTTATTGACCGGCAGCTAATTAATAGGGTTTTAAATTTCAGTGTTTATAGATAAAACGCCTATTATAACCAGTAGATAATGTGTTAATTAACTCAGGTGTTGTTCGTAAGAGTCCGTTTACCTGGCGAGGCACTTGTCGACGTTCGTCATCGCCTTGAACCCCAAAATGGCGAATATCACGACGCAACAACCGCTGACCAAGAGCACGTCCCGGACGCAGTTGTTGTCCGGCGTGTTGTACGAACCGAATGCGATCAACGAGCCGAACGCTAGCCCGAAACTGTAAAAAACCTGGGTCGCCGCGTCGAGCCAGACCGTCGGTTCTAACAGTTTCTCGATCTACAAAAGTAAATGGAGGCAACAATTAGAGAGAAAAAACTATATTAACAAAAGAAATAAGTATACAGGGTGGGATACCTAAAACAGGCCGCTTGAATGTCTTGGCTGTTGCTGGTGATAGAGAAAACAGGTTTCAAACTAAACTTGCATAGGGTATCGAGGAGTACATTATTTGATATAAATAATTTTTTGATAGGTGGACGCGTAGAGGTCATATGAAGGTCAACTTCATTTTTTCGTTTTACGCGTCTTAAAACGCTCTACTAGAAGTTGACCTTCCTATGACCTCTACGCGTCCACCTATCGAAAAACTATTCACATCAAATTATGTGCTCGTCGATACCCCTATGCAACGTTGGTCCGACACATTCTTTTTCCTATCATCAGTAACAGTCGACATATAATTCAGGTGGTCTGTTCCAGGTGTCTCACCCTCTACACCAAGTGTATAAAACGGAGATTGATCAATTACCTTTGGCGTGTACATATGGGCCAATCCAGCGCTGGCACCTTTTAACGTTATTCCACGAATAAAAAAGATAGTAAGCACCAAATACGGGAACATGGATGTAAAATATACCACCTTTAAATCAAGCAAAGAAATAAGTCGTTGACACAGTAATCTGGACTGTTGCGTTTACGAGGAGACGTGTTAGTTCGGTGGGGTACGTGGGGAGGCTGTTCGTGGCGCGGTGGGAGAAAAAGCAAACGCGGTCCTCGCAAGGAAAAGAAAGAAGTAACGGAGCACTTCGCGTCTTTTTACCTTTCCCGACGATTGTATTCCCTTCATCACGATAAAGAAGACGACGATCCAGCTGAGCAGCAGACAAAGAACGATCCACCACTTCAGACTCTGACCGTCCTCGATCGACGGCGCGGCGTCTAGCGTCGTTCGGTACCAAAAGTAGGCAGTCTCGGAACTCTTGACGCATTCTTCGACGGGCTTACCGTCCACTTCCGGACATTTCGCCCAGGGCAACGGCTCCTGTATATTCATAACCATTCAATCTTCAGTGAGATCAGGAGCAGTGAAATGTATCAGGATATATTCCGGAATACTATTGCGTATCTTTAATCACTTTCTTTCACATTATATTCTATAGTATGTCCGTTTCAAGTGTATACTCATGCGTAAAAAGTAGTTATATGTCTTTAAGAGGAAACACCACTGTAATATTCGATTTGAAATTTTCAGATAGTGTTTTTGGAGAGTTAAACTTTAAAAAACGTATTTTAAAAAGATCGATTTTTTTTAAGTTTCACAGTGGCGTTCCTCCTTAATAATACTGACTTGTACCCTACAAACTCTAGGGGCGGCGTCAATCGGAGGATTACATTCTTTTTCTCTCTGTATTCTCGCAAACACGCAATATTTGCCCGGAAACATCCTAATCCGTATAATATCGTTCGAGAAACGTGCTTTATGGTAGAAAGCGTCTACGTTCAACAATCTCTACGTCATGCTTAGCTGGATATGCTCATCTCTTTCGTATTCTCAGTGGTATGCGATAAACACAGTAGTGTGATCGTTGAATTATACTTACGCCGAATTTAATCGTGACCGCCTAACCAAGCGCAGCGTGAAACATAAATCGTTATGGTTATTCAAAAGGATCGACGACGGAGTAGGGGGCGGGGGAGATTGGTAAATGTGTCCGATTCGTTCGCCTGCGTTCCGCGTATTCCGTCGATCAAGTTTAATCCTCGATAAGCACGTGTTCGGTCCGGATCGGTCCGGATCGGACTTGTTTCGACGGAATAAACACGGATCGATCGATCGATCCGTTTAATCAGCAGCAATAGAGGAATCAGGGGAACTCACCATGAGCGAATTGAACAGGTAATAGAAGCACCAGGTGATGATGACGTTGTAGTAAAGGGCGACGAAGAAGGTGACGATACAAGAGGCTATCCCAATCCCTCCTAGCCACGGGTGTATTGTGTTCCATACGCCGAGGGCGCCCTGTCGCATACGTTGACCGAGACCCAGCTCGATCAGGAAGAGGGGTATACCCTCTAGGATTAGCATCACGAAAAAGGGGATGAGAAAGGCACCTGAAAAGCGTACCCCCACATAATAAAATTTTCCTTCTCTCTCTCTCTTTCTATACACATACAATTTCATTGAAAAGTGATTCTCTTTATTTGGTCCCCGTGTAAAATAATATCGTTCATATTGAGTCTCCCCTCTCCGTTCAGCAGCGATCCTCTTGTTCCTACGACCCCTTATTACCGAATGAATGCGCAACCGTTCTCTTTTTTAATCTCTACTACCCATTTGTTAGCCATGGTTCTGCCGTGTCTCTGCTTAGAGAATATGTTCCTTCGTTCCCTCCTTTTCTTTTTTCACGGCAATCTAGTTCCGTGGCAACAGCAGCCTGTGTGGCTGCTGCTGTTGGTTCGGTATTGATCGTGTGACGGCCGTACATACGTGCACACACCGTGTAACCCTTCGATCTCTCGCCCGGTCCATGCTTTTCTTCAACTCTCTCTCTCTCTCTCTCTCGAAAGCGTTTCGCCGAGCGCGTCGTAAACGCGACGGCAGTGGGCTGATATTGATCAACGACGATGGCACGCTGCGTTGCAATTTCCAGCGCAACGCGCGCGAAAAACGAAAGAATAAAACTGCTTCGTTAGATCTTTTTGTGGAAGGTCGTCACGGACGGAGTCGAGACTACGCAGCTGCTGCTGGCTGCAACTGGCTCGCAACGATTGGGAGTTACAAGGGACGAGACTTGGTTCGCGTAGGAGAAACTACCCCTTACATCTTTAAAGTATTCAGACCCTGCAATCACATCGGTGCTAGATTTCCCCAGCGATAGCTAAAGGTCGAGGCTGACTATGACGTTCAATAGGGTGATTGGGGTACCGGAGAGCGTGTTATACAGGGTGAAACTGAAGAAAAGGGTTGATAATTTGAGGGGTAGATAGCACCAATTGAAGAAAAAATGTTCTGATGAACATGGGTCGAAAAATTCGTATTATCAAAGTTTTTTTCATCATTTAGCAAGTACTATCTACCTTAAAAGTTATGAATCTTTTTTTTCGTTTCATCTCGTATAATTATCAAGTCCGTCTAAATTCTATGTTTGTTGTTACACAGATGAATTATTGAAGGCTGCGGCCCTAAGGATTTTACGTATCTCGACGTGTGATCTAAACGGCCCCACCAGGAAATATCTAAAAATGTTCGAATCCAGTTCTTTAAATAATTTCGTATGGATCCCCCTAAAACGCTACCCTCACCTCAAACAAGGGAGGTTAGAATCACCATCGGTAAGGAAGTAATTGCTTCTGGTTTGCGTTACCACGCGCCGAGGGCCTAGCGGAGGAGGTTTAATCGAAATCGATTGGAAGGCACCACGATTCATGAATGCAACCCCCGTCATCAACGCGCGTTGCAGATGTTAAACGATTACATGTGTCGTCTCTGTCTTCTCACTCTCTCTTCCTTTGGCGATAGAATGGTAAAAAATCGATCGATGCGCGTCGGACGTCGGCGTCGGTCTGAACGGTGTCGGCCTCGAAGCCGGTGTCGTGCCGCGGCACGGGGGAAAATTCCATTGAAAGTCGAGGAGGACTCCGAGACTTGATATTTCGATGCAAGGGTGCAACTATACTTATATCGATTCGAAGCCAAGAACTTGGATATCCACGGAAGTCTTGGTGGGTCTACAAAGCAGCACTGCGATAACGCTTCCACCTCGAAATAGTGATTTTGTTAAAATTTTCAGAGGCCCGCGGATCTTTGAAGCCGTTGAGGCTAAATCTACTAGCTAGAGTATCGAGAAGGCTAATGTCATTTAGAACAGAGATGGACAAATTCATTGTCTAGATAAAGAGTTTCGCATGAAAGATAAAAACGTACTTCGTCATTTTTAATCGTTTAAACGTGGAAATTCCATTTCTTATAATAAAATAATACTTCTTCTTGAATGGGTCGACATTTGGCAAACAAGTATTTAATTAACTGTTTAAAGCTCAGGATGACACCCTTAGATACTGTTGCATTTCACTATCTAAATTCGAATAAAATTCTGCCCAACTCTGTGATTCAGAACAATATTTAGGGAAACTATCAATCGTATATTAACGACTTCTTCATATCTGAACCCTTTTAGGCACTTACAGCACAAATCTTCGATGCCCATATCATATACCTTCTACTTCTACATGTTCTCCTCAGTGTTGGGGTAGAATTTATTGTATATACTTTCAATTAGTTAATTCATATTAAGATGAAGATATGATTCGGTGACTTTATAAGAATCAACTGATCAAAGTTACGAACGTTAATTTCTACCCAACACTGGTACCTATTCGCGTGTGTTAAGGTATAGGGGACAACTTCAGTTAGAGGATCACCGAAGCTATCAGATCCCAGATAGCGTAACCTAGCCAGATGTTCGGGAAAGTGAAGCGTGTTTCGCGTGTTTGGTATCGAGTGCTACCGGAATAGATTCGGTTCAAGTGAAATGCGGGTACCCGGTCATCCAGAGTATCGATAGGGGGGTCACTTCAGGGAATCATGGACGCGATCAACCAGCCAGAGACGAACGGAATCGCGGTTCCCTTTGCGCAGCGTGAACATCTCTTTCTCTCCCACCAAAGAGTGAACGTCTTTCTCTGTCTTTCTCCCTCTGTATTTCCAGAAGGACAGAAAGGGAGGGGGAGTTCGTCGATGGAAACTTCCGCGGCCAAGCGAAAATTTGCGGGGGCGTGGGTCTGATTTAACGGTCGCGTATAAACCCCTCGCGGCTCGACTGTGACGTAACACGCGCTTACACGGTCGTGATTTCAATCGCGATCAGGCCTGCCACCCTCGCCACTCTCGTGCCTCTTCGCCCACGTGATCCACGCTGTCTAGGCGCGCGCGATACATGGACAGGCACCACTTTTGTGTCGTACCTTGAAGTACAGGGTGAGTCGATAAGAGGAATTATCTAAAATAACTCGTTATTTATTGGTTGTGTCATAAAACGTTTTAAATGAATTATGTTGCTTTCGATGGGGCTCGCCAGGTGGATACAATTTCATTTTTTTATATCTTATATTTTCTGAGATCTCAAGGTAATCTTGAGCTTTTCCAAGGTCAGTGAATATTTTTGTTAATGCTGCATTGTAGCCGATAAAAAGACGAGTTCAACGACCTGTAATAAGGTCTGGGGGAAAAACATTCATTGACCTTGAAAAAACAACGGTTGTTGTAACCTAACCCAGACCATTTGAACTCTCCGACCCGAAGGAATTCGATTAATTTATTCAGTACCTAATATATCATTTACAAATTATTTTACAATCGATACAATACGACCTTCTTTTCTCTTACATCACGTAACTCTCAAATTGAGTTCAGTCTAATTAATTATTTCTGCATTTTTTTTTGCACTATTGCTTTGAATAATTGTGCGTTTCGCTTTATTGAAATCGATAAAATGATTTTCGACCAAAATTTTCCTACAATTATACATATACTTTACTGTGCGCCGTTCTGTCCGCGGTGTTTCCAACGGAATGTAATCGAGTTACCACCGACCCGCGGTATAGGTCGCGGCGGAAGATGCCAGACCGCGAAGGGGGGTTCAAGGGCGAATTTTATAGGATTTTATCGTTTCCCCAGGTTTCCTTCCGTGGATTTTGGCGGGCGAAACGGGGCGTGGAGGGGGAGAGCACGCGACACGAAACGAGGCTGTAGCGCACGGAAGAAAAATAGCCCCGGACGCGCGCGTCGCTGGATGATTCCGCCTCCATGGAATTCCGTGGATACGCGAAAGACTCGGAATGATAGGAATATATATTTTTAAGCGGCTCTCAGTGTGACCGAAAATAGCTTGTTACGGTTTACGTGGTCGTTCGCCGCCGTATCTTTAGAGGCTGTGCGCGGTGTCGTTTCGGTTGGAGAACGGAGAACGTTAAAGAACTTTTCGGAACAAGAGCTCGATGCTGATCGAGCAACGATAATTCACACGGAGAGAAAGTTGCGACATACAGAGCGTAACAGAAATAAGTGGATAGTTGTTTTTGGGGGTGTAGTATACTCGTTTTAAGGGTGAACAGGGTTATGAATGAAACACTTCCTATTTAGTAGTTTCGTTTTGGAAAAGCTACTAGGACACTTTTGGATGTTCCTCGAGTGTCTCGATATAGGGTCATTCGACTTTGTTGAAACTTGAATATCTTGCATTCTTCGGTGATATATAAACGTGTTTCGAACGATTTTTGATAAGTTTCAAAAATCTTTCGTAATATAATAAATTTCAAAAGTTGAAAACTGCGATTGAATTAAGTGTCGAATATTCAACGAAAGGTAATCGTGTATCTTGAAATGAAAGAGCTTCTAAACCCACGTGTTTACACGACCCAATTTTCATCCTTAACCTCTTCAGGGATTCTGACACATATGTGTACGTTTAGTTTCTCTTTCACTATTCAAACATCGTTTCAAAACATATAATGAACTTTTCGGGTCTTAATAAATTCGTCCCTGAAAAGGTTAACCCTTTAACGCCCAGTGTTGATAATAAATAAAAAAAAGAAAAAAATGAAGAAAAATAGATGTGTTTAATATCGATGTTTTCGACTTCAAAATAACAAGATACAACATATACAGGGTGTTCCGCTTAAAACAGGCCACCTAAATATTTACTCTGTCTGTGATCATACGAGAAATATTTGTTACGTAATTTAAATGGCTTCAAGAAACGAATCAGATGGTGGAAAAAATTATATAAGTGAATTAAAAATTTTTAGAGTTCAAGATCATTTCAAGGTCATACTATTATACATTGATGAATGCATAATAATGTGGACTATAACATACAACAGGAAAAATTATGCGCATATACGTAAAAACACATGGGTGATCTTGAAAAAACTCGTACTTTTCCAACAACGATTTAAGGGTCTGGGTGTTAAAGGGTTAAAGCGATCGAAAGGCGATATCACTCTCTGTGCGTTGTATCCCGCGATATGTTTACCTCCTCCATTCTGCTGGCACAGGTACGGGAACCTCCAGATATTCCCGAGGCCCACGCTGTACCCGATAATACTGAGGAAAAACTGCATCTTGCCGCTCCATGCCGCCCTATTGTCCTCCTTGTTCTCCTGGCTGCCGTTAGCATTTTGCGTACCAGCCACGACGATGGTCACGTTGTGCCCGGGTTGACGATTCTCGTTCAACGGAGCCAACTCGTGCCCGTTCCTAGTAGTCTCGTTTTTCACCACCATTCTTCACCTCGGTTGTGTGTCTAATTTCAAAGATTGAAACACAATAGCTATCTCTCCAACGGACGATTTGTATTCCCCGCTTTCCTCCCTTCTCTTGGGTTCACTACTCTCGAGTTTCTTCTTTCGCTTATATATACATATATATCTTCTCTGTTTCAAGACGTGTATGTCTCGAGCAGCTATTCGATGGACCAGCACCGATCAAGGATAACCTCGACGCCCTCGTTAGGCGATCGAGACGGGACGAACGATATCGCGGCAATTATCGAGGGAGCAACAATAGTAACAACAAGAACAACAACAACAAACGACGAAGGAGAACGTGTTTAAACGACGAAGACGCGAACGACCGACGGCAGTTTAGAACCGAAATGCCCGGACGAGTTTTTCGGTCGTTATTTTATTTATCGGATATATACATATATTTTTCTCGTGGTATACCGTTAATTACGTAATATAGTCGTTTCTCTGGTAGAAAAGAAAAATTCCTTAAGGTAACGCGGAAGGCATATCTGGTACGAAGAACGTGTGTGTATGTGTGTGTGTGTGTGTGGGTCTTTGTCGAACGTCGTCGCCCACGTTTTCCGCGAACACCGTGTAACGGGAGACGGACACGCCGTGTTTTTCCACCCTGTCTTGCGTTCGTCTACCCACGAAACGAGAGTGCGTCGAATCTCAGATCCGACGAAGGTGAACACGACGATCTTTCGAACGATTGAAAATTTCTGTAATCGATAAAATAACGACGTGAGTTTCGTACGAGCGGGGACAGTTTCGTCCTGTCTAATCGGAATTTTCTCTTTTTCCTATAAATTTCCACACGTTGCTTGCACGCTGAGATGTATAGATCGCCACAGGTTAACTTCTCGTGGAAAAGTTTTCCACAAAAAAAGAAAAACTCCGATTAATAGAAGAATTGAGAGGGATAGGGTTTACACGCGAGAACGATAAAGCGAATAGGAAGAAGGATACTTGTGTCGGGGGATGATATCGCAGAGAGACGCGTGCACGAGGAGGTTCGAGCGGGGTTCCGTTCGCGGAGGCGCGTGGGCATCGGTTCGGTCTTCGAAACAGTGCGTAGCATCGAGGTGATCCACGAGTGATCCTCACAGTTCAGGCACAAACGAAATACGAACGATCACTTTTAACGGCTCGAAGGATACGAATGAGGAAGCTCACGTTTCACGTCGCATACACGTCTATAGTCCTGGTACATGCCCTTTTCTCCTCTGGTCGGTTAATTCTATCTTCCCTCGCGTCTCGACGTGGCGGTGGTCCGGGATCTTTCTTTTCTCCTCTTTCGTTTCCCGTAAACGCTTGTCGCCTTCTCGATTGCCTGTGACATAAGATTCGTAGGCACCTAGGTCAGAAACAGCAGGAAAAGCTTCAGTGATCCTCTAGGATCGTCACCATCGTCCAGTATCCCTCCTCGTTGATCCACTAGTTTTCCAGGAATACTTTCGGAGACACGTTAGGATCCGTTCCTCTCTCACGACAAATCACACTGACTGGAGAACCTACTAGGGACTCTCGGTAAATTTATTTCGATCGGATGGTCCGCTGATCGAAGCGGCGCTCGCTCGAACGTGAATAGAAGGCGCATGGACGGCGACGGGAACGAACGATTTTCGGAGCCATGTAGCAGTTCCAGGTCCCGTGGTCGGTCTCCCTACCTCGCGGGGACGGCTATTTGTTTTCTGCTCGCGATGGTGGAGCACTTAGGTTTCTTTTCTTTTCTTCGTAATGGTTCCGTTCGTTTGGTATTATACGCGAAAAACACGATTCGGGAGCTGACGCGGTTGCGCGCGCGAAAACAAAATTCCTTAGTTCCTCTTGGCAGTCCTCGAGTTCGACCCCCAACTGACTAGAACTGGCGCTTGAACAGAGCTTGTATACTGCACGCCCTGTGTACACGGAACGTCAATAACCAACTGAACCTAACCACCGTTGCGCGCGGCAATGTGCGCGCGCGCGTGCTCACGCTCGTCGGGGATCGTCGCCGCCGAGACGACGGATTCGCGCGCGTACGCAACCGGCTAGGAGGGAACCAACCGACGAGCCGGAACCCTGGAACTTCAACAAAGCTTTCCGCCCGCTTTCGAACCCCCCGATTAGCCGTGGTAATTAGGTGTGTACATATGGCGTATACACGTTCCCTCCACTGTTGGGTCTTTCTCTCTGTCTCTCCACAGTTGGGGCTCACCTCCCTGAGTTTCCACTGCTGACCGACTTCGTTCAGGATATAGGGATGTTCGATTCCGAATCGATTTTTCGGAAGATCGATTCCCTTGGGTAACACATCGCCACCATGTATAACAGATACCGATAACTATGGGACCAGGTCTGAGACTTAAAAAAAGAGAAAACTATTACAGTAAATATTTAATGTTCAGTGGCTAAGAACCTCCGAACACTCATCGAGGATTTACTGTATTTTGCAAAGGTTTAATGAAGGTAATGTATTGAAACCAGGAATCGACAAAGTTATGAGACTTTCCAAAAGGTTCTATTTAAGACATGGACCGTGGAATGTTGTTGAAAAACGTTCTCATAATATAAGTTCCTACAAGAATAGACAAATAATAGTTCTAATTTCAACAGAGAATTTATAGAATTACTACGTATTTCAATTCATTCAAGTTATAAAAAAAATGTGACGTGTTATCCAAGGGAATCAATCTTTGGAAGAATCCAATCGGAATCGAACATCCTTAGTTCAGGGTAGGGCGAAGGGGTGGTGGGGGGTAGAAGATCGAAAGGATCCATCGTGAGAAGGGAATTGTACCCATTGCTCTATACCTCTGGCCTATAGGCATACCCATCCCTCCCCCGAAATCAGAAGCATTCCCTGACCTCAGTTTCCCGTGGACGCGTTGCATCCCTCAGGGAGCACGCGCGGCCGACTCTCACCGTTCCACCATCGATCTTCGGTCCCGCAGCCAATCACCCGCCATTTTCGTCCTCGAGACGGGATTGCCACCACCTGATCCGCTGGCGCGACTTTCTTCGCCTCGTCTTTACAAATAGAATTTTCGCCCCTACCACCCTCGACCCCCTCCTGGTTCCGTTCCCCTTCTCCCGTGGAAGGAGACTTTGGCGTTAATTGATCGGCCTGATGGTGTTGTGCCCTCCAGTTCGAGGGTATTAACGAAGATCCTTTTGAATCATTAAGGTGGTTCCTTGTCTCTCGTCTTCTCCCTCTAGTGGTTGGAGGCAATATATATATATATATATATATATATATATAT